AACCTGAGGACAACTAATAGATTGGATCAACAGAAGGGCAATAAAGGGCAGGCAAGACCTTGGGGTAGTTAAAGTGGGATTCTTCCCAAGTTCCACACGCCACAGACTATTTTTCTCCCAAGTTCCCCATTCTGATGATTGAAAATGAGGGAGATTGCAGGGCTTTAGGTCAGGTGGTTACATAGAAGGGAAGGGCTCTGTCTGGATCTTGGTTGGTCTGGACAACTTTGGGAATATCACTCAATATTCCTGTAAATGCAAAGATTTTCAAAAAAGGAGACATTCTATACAAGTGACCTATCAAGGCCCTATCTTCATATGCGCAGAGCCCCGAGTAATAGAGGAATAATGAACATAGCAGTCTCTCAAGTGACTGGTGTAGGAGGCAGCCCAGTGCACAGCTGTTCAACCCTGGGAGGAGCATTATGATGACTGCCACTGACAAGCTGTGGGACCCAGGACAGCCACGTAACCTCTCTGTGCCATGCTTCAGTCTGCAAATGAGGATCACTGTAATATCCTCTCCTTGAGATGATATGAGAATTAAATGAATAAGTTTTAAAGTGCTCAGAACTATGTAAGACCCATAGAAAGAGCCATAAAAGAATTTGTGCTTGTGGTGATGACACGATTATTATTATTGTGGTCCTGACCCTATGCTTTCCCAACCCAGAAATCTCTCCCAGAGGAGGTCACTCAATCTATTGAAAAAGCAGGAGTTGACTAAATGGCTGAGGGGAGTAGAGAAAGAAAGGTAGAGGAGAATGAAGAATGGAGGGAAGGGAACAGAGGGAGCAGCACACAGAAGCACATAATGCAGAGGAGCCCAGCAAGAGTGAGATCAGTTTCATTCCATTGTGGAGGTGATTTGAAAGATGAAGCAGAATAGGCCATAAAAGGTCCAACGTACATAAGGAATTAGATTTTTAGAAGTCAATCTACAGGAAAAAAAAAACATTTCTGGAAATTTCTGAAGTACTTGCTAAACTATGTTAGCAAAAATTAACTGAATAGAGAAATCTAAGAAAAGTATAGTGAATGGCCAGAGTCTGCTAATAAGAATGGAAAATGAAGTGGAATGTTCCGTAGGCACCTGGACCTGGCTATAGATTCCTGCGGTTGTGTTGACAATGACTGATTTCCTGTAGCCTCTTTTCTCAGAATTTGCAGTGCTCCTCTCTACCCACAGGCTAATAACCTGCCTCCCCAGTGGTCTCCAAGGCTGCCTTTGTTCTTACTGTCAGAGCCCTGACGTTCTGTTCTGGTATATAACATTCCCTGGCCAGCTGAGAATGCAGGGGGTACATTCTGAATAGCTAAGACCAATCTCATAATTCTATCCACTTTCCCATTGATTGACTGAGGTATGGATGGGCACTTGCCACAATTCTAGCCAGAGCCATAATGGAAGCCAGGAGGCTTCTGGGAAAAGTTTTCTTTCTCTGAAAAAAAGCACACAAGATGACCTGGCCTCTTCTTCCTCTGTATGTTGTGCTGATGTGTGACACCCAGAATTGCATGTCCTCTAGAGCATCTACACAATATCTTTCATAGTACAGCTAGATAAGTTTTTGTTCCGTTGAAAACTGAAGATTTATAGCAACTTCCTAGGAGATAAGTAGGGTGGTTGTTATCCTTTTGGTAGATGAAGAAGCTGAGAGAGATGAACTGGCACATGTTACACCTAAAGATGAATGATGCTGGTGCTTCTATAATACCAGATGCTTCTCTTTGATCTTATCAAATCCAGGCCAGAAAATATGATACACAGCTTTAAAAAGGTTTCTTTTTGTGCCCAGACAACAAAGCAAGGCATGAATATGAGCTAAACTGTATTAGATTAAAATGCCTTTTTTCATTTTTGTTTGTTTATAAACAACCTGCTAAAGAATGTGAAAAGATGGATCTAGTGCTTTTTCAAGCTGAGAGGTACCCACATGACTAAGTCAGACAGCTATTCCACTCAGGAACAATGATCAGTTAAAGATCTTTGCAATCAATGTACTCCAAGGGTTTGGGGAGCCTTTGGAGGTACAGGCATTACTCCATGCTAGGAGGAGCCTCTTCAGTTTGCCCCAATGTGCCAACACATGTTGTTACCATTTATATGTGCCAAGAGATAAGTCTGGAAAGCGTATACTTTCCCCATAGCCCCTTCTTCTCTTTTCCACAAACTGTCCATTTCAGTCAACTAATCTGTTTACTATCCCCAAATATCTTTTGGCCTGGAGTACTAGGGTATTGACTTGCCTTGTGATTACTTTTGCCTTGAATCCTGGGCTTTCCCCTCCATATTTAAAATAGAACTTTAAGAATCCCACCAGAAGTTACTTCCTCCAATAAAACTTTTGGATTGCATAATGACAGTTATGTAATATAGTTAAACCACCGGGACTATATGTACTATCACACGGCACACAGTTTTTTTCAACTGCATGATGAAAAGAAATGCATCTGCGTGTTTTGTTTCTCTAATTAGACCATAAATAATCTCTCTGAAGGTCACTGCAAAGAGCCTTCCTCATAGCAAATAGCTAATTCTCTTTTGAGGGCATATTGGGGATTAAACCTAGGAGTACTTTACTACTGGGCTACATCCCCAGGCTTCTTTTTTTATTTTTATTTTTTATATCTTATTTTTTGGAGACAGAGTCTTCCTAAATTACTAAGGCGTGGCTAAGGTTAAGTTGCTGAGGCTAGCCTGAAATATATCATCTTTCTCCCTGGCTCCCAGAACTGCAGGCATGTGACACCATGCCCAACTGCACAAACAACTAATTCTTTATCTTTTTCTCTATCATGGACACTTCCTACCACGCTTTTGTTTTCTAATGTGTTCTATCTTGTCATTTGTATGATGGCTGAATGTGATATAAAAGGTCAGACTCTACTTTTTTTAACCAAAATAACTTACATATCTACCATATGTAAAATACCGTGCTAGATTCATGGAGATTCACAGAAGGGAAAAATAAGAAACATATTAGTAAACAAAACAATGATGAGGCCTAGGGGGTCTTCTAACCTAAAAACTCTGGGAATAAAATATTCTTATTAATGAAGACAACCCTGGCATGATGTAAATACCCACATACCAGATGGAGACATTGACCTTTACTTCTCCCTGGGAACTCTCACTATGTATAGTCAAATTTTGGTGGCTATATCAGGATTGGGGGAAGATCAGGGTAGTTTTAATTTCAAACCACCAACAAAGTTGCATAATTGAATTTAACCGAATAGTTCCTTCAGAAGCAAGGAGACCCAGGAGCCTGAGTCTAGCACGTCTGGGAAAAGACATGTGTGTGTGTGTGTGTGTGTGTGTGCGCGTGCGCTTGTATGTGTGTGTGTGTGTGTTTAGTGTCAGCAGGACAGGGAAAGAATGGCTTGGGGGCAGAACTGGCCAACCTCATGGTCCTTCTGAGGTTAACCCTCCTATCCAAAACCCACGTTCCACCTCACAGACTCCCATGAACTGTCCCACACACAGTGAAACACAGCTTGGTAAGCTTTTACAATTGTGACTTGATGACAAGAGAGGGGCGGTTTTCCCTCAAACCAAATTAAAAAAAAAAAAGTCTTGAGCTTCCTAAAGCTGTCAGCCTCCTAAGGGAATATTCTTATATAGGAATATACTTTGGGAAGCTGCTAAGCCCCCTCTAAATATTTGGGAGGCAACCTTTGAATTAAGTGTCTCACCTGGTGATGTCAATTATTGGAGTATTATCAAAAAGCAAAGATCTCAGGGGTTCTATGTGAAAAGACACAGAACAGGTCAAACAATCAATTATCTTGATAGCTGAGTAATTCAAGGAACTCTTAATCATATACTTCCAAGAGACTTAGGAGGCCAACTCCATTCTTCTAGTTATTTCTAAAGCCCAACTATAGTCCATGAAAGCCCAACTTAGAGGATAAACTTTAGAACCCTGGGATGTACAGGAAGGAGCACTCCTCATTCAGGATCCAAGTGGGCATGGGGGTCCTTGAAGAAATTGAGTTAATCTGGAGGATATAGAATTGCTCTAAAAATTGACTTAGGAGGACTCTTCTGTTGTTCTGCATTCCCATGGGAACCAAAAGCCATCTCCCACTGACTGCCGGCCTTCCTCTATGGCAGTCTTCAGCTCCCCTGTTTCCCAAGGATACCAAGAAACCTCCTATTTTGTCTTCAGTCAAGCAACCATTGTTCACAGTAAGCTTCCACCCTCAACATCCACCAACACACACACACACACACACACACACACACACACACACACTCTGCAGGACTTTCAGTTTGAGCCCATGATATTTTGGGCTCTAAATTCTCTGAAAAAAAAAAAAAATAGAGAAATCTCTCACCACACTGAGGAAGTGAGCTCCCAGACACTGCCTTTGAAAACGCCCAGCTTGATAACTCAGTCCTCTAGATCACTAGGTTTCTCTTCCCCTATCCCTCAGTTATGTCTCATGAACCAGAGTTTATGTGAATTTCCATAAGAGTAACAGGTCTAATTCAGTTCTTACAACTCTCCCCAACAAGTTATCTACGATTGCAGCTGTGAGGCCTTTTCATCTACTACTAACTAGTCACAAAAATATTTCATTTATTTGTGTCTCATGTATATTTCTTATTTGGATCTCTATAATTTTAATTTGTCTCAGTCTATCACAAGTTTTGAAAAATTAATTCAGAGTAAAAAGAAAATAAGGCAGACGCTGCTCACTCTCTCGCTCGCTCTCCCTCGCTGTCTCTGTGCTATAGCAGGAAATGCATTTCTGACACTTTTAAAATGAGCAATCACACTTATAATCAACTTGGTTAAAACTTCCTTCCTGGTAACTGCAACACTTCCTCTGCATCTGGATATGAAGGGAGCCCCAGAAAAGCGGAAGAGTTGAGAGGCACACTGGGTAGGTTTGAATTTGTTTTGTTTTCAAAAATTAAACAAATGATCCTTCAGCATCATCGCCTCCGCTGCTCTATCAGGTATTGCTTCCTTCTATTTTTTGCTTTCTGTTGGGTCTGACTCGAAATAGAGACACTTCCTTCTCAGCTAGAATATTTTTATCTGGAACTGTTGTCGGTTCTTCAGATGATCCTACCACTGGATGTCCGAGTTTCATTGTCTGGTCCAACCTAGACTGTGGATATCCACAAGGTTCCGGCAATAGTTTGCAGGTGCATGGATTCTTTTTTGTTTTTGTTTGGGAGGAATTGGGAGGGCCTGGGAGCCTCTGCCAACCAGGCTTCATATTCTTACAAATGCATGTAGAAATGACTGAACTTATAGTGTTTCTAACGTCTTTTTATAAGAGAAGAAAACATCATAGCCTCAGCCATGAAGAAATCCAGTGAGTATTTGCTCAGCCTGTTTGGTATCACTGAAGGAGATATGGCCATGTATTTGTATGCTGCCTAACTTGGCCAGTTTCATTTCAAGTTAGTGTCAATAGCAGTCTACCTTACAATTCTCTTCTTTGTTTCTTATTCTATAATGTAGCAAAAGTTCAAAATGGGTGTTTTAAGTTACAAGAGAGAGTTCCTTGGGACTGTCTTGATTTCACTTACTAAGTATAACTTCATTATATTTTAAGGCAGGGAATATTGACTCTAAAAATAAGTTAAGCCAAGTTAACTTAAGTTAACATAATTTAAGAACTAATGAAACTCACTTTCTTAGCTTTTAATCAAAAACATATACCATCTTTTTGGTATATATCAATTCCCCTACTATTTCTTAAGGGAATAAATTGTCATGAGTCTCATTAATATTAGTTATTTAAGAGTGAATGATATTTTCTGAGAAACTGTTTTTTATTTCAATAGTGAGTCTTATTTAGAATATAATGTATTACCAGGTAGTGATATTAAATATTAAAATACCTAATTATTCCTCTTTCAATTTTAATACTTATAGAATTTCAAATATTAGAAGGTTTTCTTACTATGGTATGTCATATTTATATTTAAATGCTTTGTCAAGAGAAGGTTTTCATTAAATGCTTGTTGAAAATGGATAATTTACTGGGAGTATATTTGTGAATTCTTGCCATTGTAATAGAAAGATTAGAGCAAAAAAAAAGTTAAGTAATCATTTAGGGTCAAAATAGTAGGTTACTGGAGTCCAGAAATTTTGCCTCCCATTCTGGGGTCCCTCCACTATCAAAAGCAGAGCCAGACCAAGTGAATTGGTACAGAGTTAAAAGTGCCTAGTAGCTGTTTATATTAGGATGTTTATGTTAGATGTTTAAATTAGGCAATTTAATCTAAAAGGGCTGATGGCTAGAACACTTACAGATTTCGTGATTCAAAATTTTACATACCTTTAAATGGTCTTGATTGCAACTTTACTATTTCTGGTATTTTTGAATTTTATGAATGAAATGACTACCATTCTTAGAGGAGAGGTAAGAAAAAAAAAGAAAAGAAAAAAGAAAGACAGGAAGTTGACTAGGGAGTAGCAGGTCCAGACAGTTTGAAAATAGAGAACATGAAGTGAGGTTGGGTAAGGTGTCTGGGTTAGAGGAGAAGTGTGAGACTGAACAAAGGAAAAAGTTTAGGGCTTGTTTTTAAAGTGAGATGTTTCAGTTGCACCTTGCAAACTTGAACTTGATCCTTAACTGTATTGTTTTACTTATCTGTATGTTTGAGTATGTTTAACAAAAATTACCATTTTGAGCTATTAAGTCAGACACTGTACTAGATGATTCTTTGGAATATTTCTTTTTTAATTAAAAAAAATTCAAATACATACAAAAGTAGAGAAAATGATTGATGAGTGGGAATCATAGGCCCACTGTCCATACAAAAATGTATACCTCCTTATGTAACTTTCACCTCCACCCTCTGAGGTATTACCAACCAATCTGACAGATTAGAAACGGGCTCAGAAATTAAATAGTCCAAGTCACTTAAATAGATAGTGGCCGCCGGGCCAAGATTCTCATGCCTTAACTGGCAGGCCCAAGCTCATAAAAGCTGTGCTGCATCCAACTTGAAGTACACCGTCCCTCTGGGTCCTCGGGTGCATGTCAATCTACTACACCTTCTCTTCTACCATCTTGTAGGAAACAGAAAGGGAAAAGCGGTTTCTTGTGACCAAGGCCTCTGTTTCTCTGCCCCCAGACTGTATAGGGCATGGAGCTGGAGAACTATGAGCAGCCGGTGATTCTGAGAGAGGACAACCTCCGCAGGCGTCGGAGAATGAAGCCACGCAGTGTGGCGGCCAGCCTGTCCTCCATGGAGCTCATCCCCATTGAGTTCGTGCTGCCCACCAGCCAGCGGGACACCAAGATTCCTGAAACCGCGCTGCTGCACGTGGCGGGGCACGGCAACGTGGAGCAGATGAAAGCCCAGGTATGGCTGCGCTCAATGGAGACTAGTGTGGCCGCGGACTTCTACCACCGGTTGGGTCCGGACCACTTCATCTTGCTCTACCAGAAGAAGGGACAGTGGTACGAGATCTATGACAAGTACCAGGTGGTGCAGACCCTGGACTGCCTGCGGTACTGGAAGATGCTGAATAAGAGCCCAGGTCAGATCCACGTAGTACAGCGGCATGCGCCCTCCGAGGAGACCCTGGCCTTCCAGCAGCAGCTCACCGCCCTCATCGGCTACGACGTCACTGACATCAGCAACGTGCATGACGACGAGCTGGAGTTCACACGCCGCCGCCTGGTCACACCTCGCATGGCAGAGGTGGCAAGTCGCGATGCCAGGCTCTACGCCATGCACCCCTGGGTGACATCCAAGCCCCTCCCTGAGTACCTGTCAAGGAAGATTACCAACAACTGCATCTTCATTGTCATCCATCGCAGCACGACCAGCCAGACCATCAAGGTCTCAGCTGATGACACCCCAGGTGCCATCCTCCAGAGTTTCTTCACCAAGATGGCCAAAAAGAAGTCACTGATGGACATCCCCGAAAGCCAAAATGAGCAGGATTTCGTGCTGCGTGTCTGTGGCCGGGATGAGTACCTGGTTGGTGAAACACCCATCAAGAACTTCCAATGGGTTAGGCACTGCCTTAAGAATGGAGAAGAGATTCACCTAGTGCTGGACAGGCCTCCGGACCCAGCCCTGGACGAGGTGAGAAAAGAAGAGTGGCCACTGGTAGATGACTGCACCGGAGTCACCGGCTACCATGAGCAGCTGACCATCCATGGCAAGGATCATGAGAGTGTGTTTACTGTATCCCTGTGGGACTGTGACAGGAAGTTCAGGGTCAAGATCAGAGGCATTGATATTCCTGTCCTACCCCGAAATGCAGACCTCACAGTTTTTGTGGAAGCAAACATCCAGCATGGGCAGCAAGTTCTTTGTCAAAGGAGAACCAGCCCCAAACCCTTCACAGAGGAGGTGCTCTGGAATGTATGGCTCGAGTTCAGTATCAAAATCAAAGACTTGCCCAAAGGGGCTCTACTGAACCTCCAGATATTCTGTGGCAAAGCTCCTGCACTGTCAGGCAAAGCCTCTGCAGAGACTCCCAGTTCAGAGTCCAAGGGCAAAGCTCAGCTTCTTTACTATGTAAACCTGCTACTGATAGACCACAGGTTCCTCCTGCGCCATGGGGAATATGTGCTCCACATGTGGCAGATATCTGGGAAGGGAGAAGACCAAGGGAGCTTTAATGCGGACAAGCTCACATCCGCCACCAACCCAGACAAAGAGAACTCAATGTCCATCTCCATTCTTCTGGACAATTACTGTCACCCAATAGCCCTGCCTAAGCATCGGCCCACTCCTGACCCCGAAGGTGACCGAGTTCGAGCTGAAATGCCCAACCAGCTTCGAAAGCAACTAGAGGCAATCATAGCCACTGATCCACTTAATCCCCTCACAGCAGAGGACAAAGAATTGCTCTGGCATTTTAGATATGAAAGCCTGAAGCATCCCAAAGCATATCCTAAGCTATTTAGCTCAGTGAAATGGGGACAGCAAGAAATTGTGGCCAAAACATACCAACTGTTAGCCAGAAGGGAGGTCTGGGATCAAAGTGCTTTGGATGTTGGGTTAACAATGCAGCTCCTGGACTGCAACTTTTCAGATGAAAATGTCAGAGCCATTGCAGTTCAGAAACTGGAGAGCTTGGAGGATGATGATGTTTTGCATTACCTGCTGCAGCTGGTGCAGGTAGGGGATGTTGGCTTTATCAAGGGAACTGTCCTCAGGAATTTATTTGCATGTACACAGGCACCCCATTCAGTTGTTATCAGATACCCTTTGTTCTGAGCTTCATGATGGGTCAAAACAGATCTAATGAAGCCACCTCAAAAAGCAGTAAACACTTCCATTTATTATTTTACTGTCTTTAAGGGTTTGCTGACAAGCATTTTAAAGACATCAGTATGATATTTTGTTTTGTAGGAAAATTGGCCCCATGGAAATACTTTGTTCTCATTTATTATTTTAAGGATAGATTCAACCTATTGAATGTTTTCTTATGTCAAGTTTCCAAGTGATTTACATGCTTTTTGTGTGTTATCTCATTTAACTCTCCCAAAGACTATGATAGTGGTCAAATTAGTATTTGCATATTTTGCATAAAGAAATTAGGGAACAAAGAGGCTAAGCAATCCAAGATCACATACTTTGAAAGAAGCAGACCAGAATTCAAATGTAGGAGGTCTGATTTCAAGCCCTGCCCTTGTCACTGCCGGCAAAGAGTGAGCTAAAAGAGATCTTCTCCCCCCCCCCCCACCCCATGAGTACTCCAGTTCATAGAATAACAGCTCATAGCTGGGTAGAGTCTTGAAAGCTCCTCTCCTTAGACAGGTCCAGGGCTATGTTTCCACTCCAGTTCTCATGATGTCCCCTGGGGCCCTGAGAGGCTCAGTGATGTCTCTGAGGTTTAGCTAGGAAGTTAAAGACTTAAGGAGCAGCAGTTCTCCTGCTCACTCTAGCAGTTCTCAAATTATGTTGTAATGTTTTAAAAGATAAGGAAATAAAGGAATTGGAATATAAATTTCATTTTAGAGCCCAGACATGTCCATTCATTAATTTAACAACCCATACTGAGAAGACTGACATTAAATGAGTATATACACAAACATGTTTAATAACAGATTGTGACAAGGAAAAACAACAGAGTATTATGAGAAAAAAAGGGGGCCAGGGATGCTTAATTTCAACTGAGGAATCCAGGCATACATAGTCCGGAGTTATATTTGCCCCAAGATCTTTAGGATAAGTCAGGCTAAATTTTACACTCCAAACTGTCACTATAAATATTTATGGGAGGGCTGGGGTTGTGGCTCAGTGGTAAAGAGCTCTGGCATGTGTGAGGCACTGGGTTCGATCCTCAGCACCACATTAAAATATATAAGTAAAATAAAGGTATTGTGTCCATCTACAACTAAAAAAAATTGTTTTTAAAAATATTTGTGGGAAGTCCCTAGAATTTTCTGATAAACACTTTGGATATTCTCAACTTTGAACCTTCACCTTTCCCTCATCAGATACTTGAAATGTTACGTTTGGCTCTAACTTTCATCTATTAAATATGGCCACTATTTTTTTTCGGCCCACTAGTTCAGATACTGGCATAACAGTAGAGAATTTTAGAATAATTAAAGGAGCCTCAATGTTCTGGATCTCCATGACAAAACTAACATCAAACAAATTTGTATATCCATTATTCTAAATCCCTAGGCTACTATGAATTATTTTTCATTGTCATTTTTATAAGTAAACCTTCCCAAATTAGAGGATAAATAATGTTCTTCTTAGAAACGTTTTAAATGAGAAAGGTCAATAAGTTATATTAACATTGAATTTGTGGTCTTAAATTTGAAGAAGAGTAGTCATTTGTAAAACTATTTGAGACATTTTCACATAAGACTAAATGACTCATTCCTAATTAAAATGGTCTCCTAGCTGACTTTACAGAAGTGAAACACAAAGGTCAGAAAGACTCACGTTCAGTTTAGAAACTTAAAATGTATTTAAAGTAAGTACTAGTGGCTAAATAACCACATTCTCAGAATTAAGGCCTTACTTAGATACAGCTATCATGGTACCTATTTGACCACACCCATGAACATTTTCGAAAGCATGGGTTATAATTGAAACATTATGGTTAGTATTTATCATTTCCAAATTGCAAACCCAGAGTAAGAATTATGAATCTTACTAAGAAAACTCCAGGCACCAAAATATTAACTAGAATGGGAATTTCTTCCTGTTCCTTAGGGGGAAAAAAAACAGACTTGTTTGTATTTGGAAAAGAAACACTCTGAAATATTCAATTTAAAACTCCTTCAGTTTTACACCTCAGATATACCTTCTAACTTTATATATGCAGTTATGCTTGTTAGTTTAAAAATTATGAACTATTTTAAACCTATAAAGAAGTAGAGAAAATAATTTAACAAACATTTAGACTCCAAACTGTCACTATAAATATTTATGGGAGGGCTGGGGTTGTGGCTCAGTGGTAAAGAGCTCTGGCATGTGTGAGGCACTGTACTCATTGAGATTTAATTTTTTTTTTCATTTGATTGTTTTTTCTTTTTTCTTCAGCAATTAGAGCTATCACTTAAGTCAATATTCTCTACATTAGGGGTTGGGATGTAGCTCAGTGATAGAATGCTTGCTAGCATGCATGATCTCCAACATGGCAAAAGAAATAAAAATCAACCAACAACATGAAAAATACTAAATCCTAGAGATGAAAAGCAAGCTCTACCTGAGGAAGCACATAAAAGCAGGGATTTTTCTGGGGAAAAAAGAAAAAGTAAAAGCTCTCTATATACACAGCGTGGCAGCAGGTAGTGACTATTCTGGATTGATCTAGACCTGCTGTCTACTTGCAATGAGAACCTGTGAGACAGCTCAACGATTTGCCATGAGATGCTGAAAAGAAAGCTCTAGGGTTTTTAGGATTTTCACTTCTAAAGAACATTCTTCTCCTTAAATGCACTAATCGCCATTGTCCTTTTCATATAGCAAGTCTCCTTTCTTCTATTTCATGGGTTTGTTCTAGCCATCTCCATCTTTCCTCTCTGCCACCTATAAATCAGGTCAGCCCCTAATGGAGCCAATGCCCCTGCCTCTCCACTTCTGAAATTACTAAAAGCATGTGACTCTGAGCTAAGACGTCTGGCCTCTAATCCCACTTCTGTTACTACTCTGTGATCCTAAGGAAGTGGTTCATTCTGGTCCAAAGAGTCTTCTAGAAGAATGGATTCAAGTGACTCATCGGATTCTCATCTCCCTAGCCATAAAGACCCACTCAAGCACATTGCCAATTTTTCTCCATTTCCTTTTTCCTGACCTACCAACATAGAATACAGTCCTACTAATGCCAACGTGTTCTTCCTTCAGGCCGTCAAATTTGAACCATACCATGACAGTGCCCTGGCAAGATTTCTGCTGAAGCGTGGCTTAAGGGTAAGTACTTCCACCTTGATAATGGCGTCACATTTTAGGTCACTGAGAATTGACCGACAGACCTAGAGCATTAGTCATAATAATTTCGACCTTCTTGTACCCACCTCAGAACAAAAGAATCGGTCACTTCTTGTTTTGGTTCTTGAGAAGCGAGATCGCTCAGTCCAGGCACTATCAGCAGAGATTCGCCGTGATCCTGGAAGCCTATTTGAGGGGCTGTGGCACAGCCATGCTGCAGGACTTTTCCCAGCAGGTCCAAGTCATCGAGATGTTACAAAAAGTCACCATTGATATTAAGTCACTCTCTGCTGAGAAGTATGACGTCAGTTCCCAAGGTAGAGCGGCTGTATTTTCCTGGTTCTCTTTCCAAATGCCTTCATCTCCAAATGCCAGAATCATTATGATTCTTCTTTTGGGAAGCCAAGTTTTAGTTTCCTAAAGGCAGCCAAGAACACATTTTTTTATTCTCTTGTCTGCATGGAGTAAGTAATTTCAAGTTCTCCTTTTATAAGTTAATGACTTTTAAAAACTAAACATATATTGTTAAGGATAAAGCTATGATAACAAACATTAAACTCTTTGAAAATTAAAAATCATTATGTAGTGTCAGGTATAATTTTGAAGAACACTTTCACACACAAAATAGAAGAGTAGTTATTTTCAAATCTTTACCTTTTCCTCCCTATCTTCAATGTATATGTCATTTTTAAATGTTCAGTCTTTTAAGGTAATAAATTCTGGAAGAGTTATGTTAAATATTTTTACATTTATTCATACATATATTTCAGAGTAATATATGTATATAATAATAGATAATGTTATATATTAATATGTTATATGAATTATATATTAAGATAATATGTAACATATTATATATTGATGTATAATAATATATAAATATATATAATCCTTTGTATATATACACACACACAAGACACCTCCTCTATGAAGCCACTTCCAATGTCCTCTTATCCCTACCCTAAGAAGTCCTGTGCCTGCCCTAAGAAATTTAACCACTTCTTGTCTGTAGTCCCATAAGTTCAGGTTGATACCACATTAAATCATGGTCATTAATACACCTTTCTGACCCAATAAGCTGTATAAACCTTGAAACTAGGGAATATTTCTTGATTTTCTGCACCTAGACCTAGTACTGTGACTCATGATAGACACTTACTCATGTACCTAATCACATTTTAAACTTTTGAATATTTTAAATATCTACTTTTTCCCTTTGACCCTTTCACAGTACACAAATAATGCTATCTCCTAAAAATGATAACAGTAATAATATTAACCTTATGTTTGTGCTGGCCTCCATTCTATCTGCTGTACATAGAGTAATTTTTAATTTATGTATTTTGCCTTGAAATTTTTGAGATTATCACATCTTCTATACACATCTTAACTTCCTCTTTTGAAAAGAATTTGCAGAACTTTAACCTAACTATTTAATATTGTCTTCAAATGTCTGTTCCCCAAATCAGATGGCAGTTCAAAGTTTCACATGCTGGAAAGAAGACTAGAATTAAGTCCTTATCATTACCCTCAGAAACTCCTCCCCATATCCTGTACAGCATTTGTGTGCTATCCCACAAATGTTCACATATTTCCATCCCCCACTGTGAAACACGTGCCTGGTTATATTGTCACAGCAAGCCTAACTTATCTTGCCACTTCAAGTAGTTAGTTCCTCAAAGGCAGGATTCTACCCAATCTTCTCCTGCTCCACCCCAGACCAAATATATAGAATGCTGTAAGTAAATATGGCCTCAGGAAATGTTGTAGATAATACTGGTAATTTCTTGAATTCATATAACTTTTTTGTGCTTTTGACAATTACAGTTATTTCACAACTGAAGCAAAAGCTTGAAACCCTGCAGAATTCTAATCTCCCAAAAAGCTTTAGAGTTCCGTATGATCCTGGTCTGAAAGCAGGAACCCTGGTGGTAGGTATCACTTGGATGTTTATGTGTGGTTTATATGTCTTGCAATGTCTGGAGTGCTTTCTAGGGTCCAGTGATTAAAAGTTGATGTTTATATAGAGATAGGGAAGCTGGAGAGTCCATGGTCGAGCTTCTGCTAATAATCATTAGCTTCTGAAAGCTTCAAAACCAGGTAATTTCCCTTCCATCTTGTTTCAGATTAGCTTATGGAGATATCCTTTATGTACAATAAAATTTGTGCATTTTAAGTGTATAATTCAATGAGTTTTGACAAACATATGCTACCATATGACCACTATAATAATCAAGGTACATTTTAAGAAATATTATGGAAAAAGTTCTTTCAAGTCACAAATCTTGTGCAAGTCTACATACAGGCTCTCTGTTCTTTCCCATTAATCTAAATATCTGTCCTCAGATCAACACCACACACCCTTGGTTACATTCAAATAATAAACCACATTGTGAACATGTAGAATCTTATAGGGTACACTTCTATTAACCTCCTCCCAATTCTTTGTATTTTTTTGTCATGCTGTTAACTTCTACAAGTGTTATAAACCCCCAAATGCATTGTTATTATTTTTGCTTTAAACAAAAATAGATTTAAAAGATTAAGCCATTTTAAAATGTTTTCCCCCATATTACCATTGGGCTACTCTTCACTGTTTTGCATAGACCCAGACTTTCTAGCTGGTATCATTTCCCTTTGACCTTTAACATTTTATGTAGTTCTGCTGCTAATAAATTCTCTCAGCATTTGTTTATCTTAAAAACTTTTCATTATATCTTCATTTTAAAAAATATTTTCACTAAATGAGGAGTTTTAGATTGATGACGACTTCTTTTTCTTCTTCTTCTTCTTCTTCTTCTTCTTCTTCTTCTTCTTCTTCTTCTTCTTCTTCTTCATTTTCTTATGGCTTGCATATTTTCTGATGCTAATTCTCTGTCCTTATCGTTAACTGTCTCTATATAACATATATTTTATTTTTCTGTAGGCTTCTTCTACGATTTATTTAATCACTGGTTTTCACAAAATTTAATCTGATGTGCCTTCTTTATGTTGAGTCTCCAAGAGAGTATTGAACCTTTGACTTGGGGGTTGATAGCCTATCACATTTAGTACTTTTTCAACTAATATTTTTCCTGTCCTCTCTTTCTGAGACTCCAGTTGCTGTGTTCTAGACTGCTTGCCCATGGACTCAGTCTAGGTTGCCTTTCTCTGTTGTCTAGCCTCAAAAGGGTCCTGAGCAGTCAACTGATGCAATAAAACGGGTTCACTTTATTTGTCTTCCTTCTCTCAGGGGTCACAGACATCCATTGCCTGCCACCAATGTCTGAAAAGAGTTATTTCATATATTTTGCCTAGTCCTATAGCTGTGTGTGACAGGACAGCAACTCCTATCATGGTTAAACCGCAAAGAAAGGAAAACCTTCCTCCCTTACATGATTAATTTTATATGCAGTTACTAGTAAATTGGCCCTATAGAAAAAGCATATATCGTCTACTGTCCATTTAGAATTTTGTTGGGAATTATGATATATTAATACAGATTTCAAAGTGTTTGCTCTTTTTAAAGACCACATCAGTGAATTTCACCACCATGTATGTATATCCACAAATAATTAATTTAACAATGAATAAATAAATAAATAACTATGGGTAAATGGCAGAAAGACCAATAGAGGGAAGGAGAAGGAGAGGTACTGGGTCTTAATTAGAATAAGATATATTCCATACTTGTATGGTTATATCAAAATGGGTTCAACTGTCCTGTATGGCTAAAAAGAACCAATAAAATATAATAAAAATTGTTTGATCCATGGAAAATTCACCTTTGGCTGAAACTTGTATGCTGTTTGGTTTTAGTTTTGATTTTTGAATGATGCCAAATCACGTTTCCTCTACCTTAAATTTGTTTCAGTGTGTCAGGTGGAGGGATGAGAGAGGAGTGTTGTACTTGACTGCCCAATTTTCCATTAATTTCTGTTAAATTTTATCTTGTTTGGCCTATTGCATCTGGTTCTGCAATAATAGCTTTTTAGACACTGTGGTAGCGTTAGAACTCTTTTTTTAAAGCTAAATCTTAGAGGGGGGCCAAACATATAAATCGATAATAGTGAAGTTTCTCTGGGTTAAAGGGAATGTGGGAGTACCAGTGTCCTGTGGGAGAAGCACAGGGCAGAATCTGTCACACCTCATGGCATCAGCATCTCCATAGACCCTTGAGCTTCCTTGGAACACAGTTTGGGAACCATTGGTTGAAGTGTGGTGAATTTGCCCTCAAAAAAAAAAAAAAAATTCTAGATTTGGTGAGAACATCTGCATTTTTCCCAAAGACTGAAAATCATTTCCCACCTAGGACTTTGTTTTGGTTATTTACAGTGAGGCTTTGCCAGAGAATCTGTATCTCCACAATGTGTATGCAGCGCATGTAGGAAACATGTGACCGCTTTCTTACAGATTGAAAAATGTAAAGTGATGGCCTCTAAGAAAAAGCCCCTGTGGCTTGAGTTTAAATGTGCAGATCCTACAGCCCTCTCCAATGAAACAATTGGAATCATCTTCAAACATGGCGATGATCTGCGCCAAGACATGCTTATTTTACAGGTAGGCTGATGTTAAGAAACATTTTCAATTATCTGAAAAAATAATTCTGTATTAGATTTAAAACATGTCTTCTACCAATTTCATTCCCATTCTATTCTTTCACATAATAAACACTATTCAAAAGCTACATAATATAGTTTTAGTGTGAGGAATATGGCTGTAGAATGTTAGATACCCAATCCCATGAGCATCACTGTTCTGTCCATTTCTTGAAGATGCACATCCAACATTCCCAAGAAACCAGATACACCTCCCTCACCTCGATTCTTTTTCATACACCCCCTTCTGAGCTTTGTAACATCAAATGTAACCACATAAACCTGCAGCACCCAGTTTATTCATAGACATATCTACACACTCATAGGCACATACACAAACTCAAGAGAATGATTTGATGGGAAGGAGAGAGAAGAGGAACAGGGGAAGAGAAACTGTACAGAGTGAACATGTTATTAGGGCAAAGCTGAATGGCCAAGGTATCGATGCTGATCATTTTCATATTTTCTGACATACCTGTATAAACTTTAGCTTCAGAAATCTGTAAAGTTGTATTCCCTAGATTTTATTTGCTCAACATTGTATAGGTAACAATTTCTAAAACTTAATATGGTTTATTTGAAATAAAGAAATCCTATTAACTTAAAAGTAAGCTGTTTAAGAACTGATCATGTTTTCAATTCTAAGATTCTGTTTTTACTTATTTCTAACATGGAAACAATAATACCCTTGCTTTGCTTTCTGTCAAGAATTGTATAAGCATTGTACAAGAAGTGTTTTTTTTTCTAGTTCCTTTCATTGTTTTTTATTAATTTTGTTGGTGCATTATAATTGCACATAATCTTGGATTTCATTGTGATATATTTATGCGTGCACATAACATAATTTATTCAGTTTCATTCCCCAGAACCTCCCATTTCCTCCATCCTCACTCCCTCTGATCCCTTCCTCTACCAGTCTCCTCCAGGAAATATTTTTAAAAAGAAAAGAAAAAGAAATCCTTCAATTCTTTTTCAGGTTAATTCAATTTCAAATTAATCTGTAAGATTTCTTGAATTGTTCAAAGATGAGCAATTCAAAAACACAAAAATTTGTCTGTTATTTCTCTCATTTTAAGGGAAAGTTTGCTCTTGTCTTTTGTGTCCTTTGGTTTATTATTGAGGGACAAGTTTGGCAGCTAAAGGAAAGTTCTCTAAGTCTTGTTCCTTCACCTGCAGAAAGGGAATAATAATCATATTCCCAATATGAGGTTAATGCAAGAACCACACATAAAAAACCACCCAATAAATGTTAGCTATTATTATCATCATTGTTGTTACTGTCATTTAGGTCTAGCCTGAGTGTCTTATGGATATTAGAGTAATAGATATGTGTCAGGATATTAGAGTTATGGTGGGAAAATATCTATGGCAGAGTAGAACATACTGAACAGGTAGATAATCAAACATGACTAAAACCTACTCCAGAGGAAATCCAAAGTACATCTCAGACTGAAATTAACAGATGTGCAATGAGGGGAAATTTGAGAGTACCAAGATGATCAATAAAAGTAGTTTTTACTTAAAAATTTTATATTTACTTAGATGTTTTGTGTTACCAGATAAGACTGCTGTTTTTTTGAAGGATAAAAAATATATATGAAGTAAATACACTTGTGTGACTGCTGTTTTTTTGAAGGATAAAAAATATATATGAAGTAAATACACATACATACACATATATATATAATAGAAACTCTTCTGTTTTGATGCCCAGATTCTACGAATCATGGAGTCCATTTGGGAGACTGAATCTTTGGATTTGTGCCTTCTGCCATATGGTTGCATTTCAACTGGGGACAAAATAGGTATGTGATTACCTCAGGAAATGAATATACCACTCAGCTAATTTTAAAAGATCATAGTTCCCTTGGTGTAGGCATTTAATAACTGAAAAAAATAGGATCATAATCCATATAAAGAAGAAGAAAATGTTCCCAGGCTGGTGAATGTGCCTCTCAATTTAATATGGATATGTTGAAAATACACGAACGCATGATTCAAGTCCTTGTGACTGTACATGGAAATGATTTCAGTAAGAACTTGTTCCCTTCTCTTTACTTCACCTCTAAACTTTAACTCATTTCATTACACATTAAATTTTTCTCTCACAAATAACATTTAAAATTAGACAGAAAGATCTGTCACTTATTTTTAAATTCCAGAATTCACATTATTAAAACTATTACACACTCTACTCTTAGGTACTTTTATAGACATTTAATATTTTAGTTTCAATCAAACATACTTTTATATAAGCTTCTGATATGAGAACAGTGCAAAACCATTTACATTTGACCCTATAATTTAAAAAGGAAAAGGCACAGAGCACTGGGTGGGGTAGGTTATTCTCAGCACATAACTGCCTTTACTCACTGCTGATCAAAACCAACCCTCTTCCCTTGCATTGAGGGATGCTGCAAGAATATCCCATACAACTTTCTTAAAAAAAAAAAAAAAGCACAGATCTGGAAAACAACCCTCTCATTTATTTAAAAACAAACACAAAACTGGGAGGCTGAGGCAAGAGGATCAAGAGTTCAAAGCCAGCCTCGGCAAAAGCGAGGCACTAAGCAACTCTGTGAGATCCTGTCTCTAAATAAAATACAAAATAGGGCTTTGGATGTGGCTCGGTGGTCAAGTGCCCCTGAGTTCAATGCCTGATACAAAAAAAAAAAAAAGTCCTCTCTGTTCCCTACTCAACAAAAACAAGTTGCTCCCCCTCTGGGTCAAGCGCTAGGCCCCCTTCTCCATCAAACTCCTCATCCTCAATGTAGGAATGATCGAGATCGTGAAAGATGCGACAACAATTGCCAAAATCCAGCAAAGCACAGTGGGCAACACAGGTGCATTCAAAGATGAAGTCCTGAATCACTGGCTCAAAGAAAAATGCCCCATCGAAGAAAAGGTGAGCTGTGCCTCCCCTCTGCAGAGGTCCCTTACAACTTGTCATTTATAAAGCAATAGTGGTTCCAGGTTTTCAAAGGATTTTTCAATGTCTTGCGTCCCCATATATTGGTGAATCCTTTACTGGTGAGGAGGTGGGGAGATTTGAGGGCTTTTCCCTGATGACACAGCACATCTATGTAAAACAGAAGTGCTCAGTTCCCAACCCCATGATCATTATCTTTGGCTTTGATTCCCAGGCACATTTTGTATACAATTTGGTTCTGTAAAATAATCTGTTAGCACTTTTTATGGCTATTTTTTGTTGTTGTTCGGCATCGAGATTTAGTTACTCTGTATAAATTCTTTCCTACCTAGGAAATACCGCACGCCCAACGACATAATTTATAATTTACCACTGCACTCTAATATAAATGGTAAATTATGGATGGGGAAAATGTCAGTTCCACCATCTTCTGAAGTGCATATGCTGAATCCTTCACAAGCTGTGTGGTTGGGCTGTTTGGCTGTCATCTAAAGTTCTACCGCACAGGATTAGCACTTCTCATTTGCATGGTTAGCAGTCATTTGGAGAGGAAATATAATTAGCAGTACTTATTAATCTGTTATACATGTGGATTTGTGAACCCATGCATACTTGTAAATGGTCACAAGCAAAACATGTTCACTGATGGAGAAGAAATTACTATGGGTTCCACATTCTTGTGAGCAAGTGATGCATGGAGAGGAAGCAAACGCTTTGATTAAATTTCTGTTGCCCTTTGACTCATGTGTCCTCCTCATGCTGTTGTGATGTATTGAATCTTGACCTAAAGCATAAGCAGAGCAATGTGAAAATTGGCTCTTGGTAGATATAATGCTAATAAAATCAGGCACAAATAACTTGCTCTCTAAAAATGGTTCCCAGAACAGTGTCTTTCTGGAAATCATCTGTAATAGATTCATGCTGCTCTTTGTAGTTAGAAGACAATTAATATTCTGATGCATTTTAATTAGTTTCAGGCAGCAGTGGAGAGATTTGTTTATTCCTGTGCAGGCTACTGTGTGGCAACCTTTGTTCTTGGAATAGGCGACAGACACAATGACAATATTATGATCTCAGAGACAGGTGAGTTTATCTATTGCAGAATAACTTATTGTGGCAAAACAAACATAACAAAATTCTCTATTCTAACCATTTAAGTGTGCAATTCAGTGGACACTGAGCACATTCACATCACTGTGCAAGCATCACTGACGTCCATCTTCAGAATTTTTTCATCTTCCCCATCTGAAACGCTGTCCTCATTAAACACAGCCACTCCATTCCCCCCACCCTCCCATCGTAGAGAAATTTTTGAAGGGAGTTCAAGGCCAGAGCACAGAGTGAGAAGTTATTATTGTGTAGGGACTCTAGTGCTGTGATCACTCTACAGAGACCACCCACCTTGAGGGCAGAGGACTGAGTAAAGGAAGAAGAGGCCGTTAGAGCTAGAAAAGTAGAGTAGGGCATATCTTAGGAACTAATGAAGGTAGGGGTGATCAACAGTATCAGCTATTTCAGAGAAACAGTAAAAGAGGGGAAAAAATCTCAGAGATACCCTCAAATCTGAAATGTGCTAGGGGCAGTGACAGACACCTGTAATCCCAGCAACTCAGGAGGCTGAGGCGGGAGGATCTCAAGCTCAAAGCCAGCCTCAGCAAAAAAAAAAAAAAACAAAAACAAAAACAAGGCACTAAGCAACTCAGTGAGACCCTGGCTCTAAATAAAATACAAAATAGGACTGGCGATGTGGGTCGGTGTTCGAGTGCCCCTGAGTTCAATCTCCAGTACCAAAAACTTAAAAAAATAAAAATAAAAAAGACTAGGAATATGGCTCAGTGGTTAAGCACCCCTGTGTTCAATCCCCAGTACTAAAAACAAAAAGAAAAAAGTGAAACATTCTGTCTGCCTAACTCACCCCACCTTGCCAGTTCACTGTCCAGTCTAACAGTGCCCAGTAGTGGCCACCACACCATGAGACTTTTCTATATGTGATTTGAATCAATTTCAGAGTAGAGTCTGAAAAAAGCATGAGAGGGGAACAAATTGCTTACTCCCTGTGAGGATCGGAATAAAACAAAATAGGCAATACATTTTTGGACTATAGAAATGATAAAGGACCAATGAGAAGAAGGGATGTGGAGAAGGTGTGGTGGTAAATATTGACCCAAAGAAGTTTCAAAATGAGTTATTTCTATTGTGGGGCTTGGAAGTACAAGTCAGAGTACAACATCAGGCTATCCTGAGTTACATGAAGGGTTTAGGGGAGTTTTAAGTATAATGGTGACATATTAGCCAGAGAGTTTTGATTTCTAAGAATAATTTTGAGGTGATAATTTTTAACTTTTCAATGCCATTTGTCATCTAAAGAACACCAGAAAGATATCAAGAACAAACATATTTGGTTCAAAGAACACTTTGTGGTTACTACTTTCACACACCTGCTAAGACCAAAAATATGACAGACTAGTAACACATGTAACAGATGCTTTCACCCAAGATAGCTCATTTTCAGGCCACTTAAAAATTATCTCAAAAAGTGAAGTGTTATTACAAGCATGTATGCTGGTGTAATAATGTCAGATATTCTTTTTCTTTTAAGGAAACCTATTTCATATTGACTTTGGGCACATTCTTGGGAATTATAAAAGTTTCCTGGGCATTAATAAAGAGAGAGTGCCATTTGTGCTCACCCCAGACTTCTTGTTTGTGATGGGAACTTCTGGAAAAAAGACAAGCCCACACTTCCAGAAATTTCAGGTATGTCACCCCCCTCTTTATTTCCTACTGAGAGTACCAACCAAGCAGGTGGTGTGTGCACCTGCTGCAGCTTTACCTCCCAGCCCACTTGGAGGCTCATCTATCCTCTGCCCCCATCCCCTTCTGGCATGGCCAACCTATCTCCTCCCAGTTACCTCTATTCATTCATTCCCCAAGAGCAAGACTGTGCTTCTCAGCCATCCTCCCACCTAAAACCAAACAGGAAGTAGAAACATTCCATAAGAGTGGGACTGGCAAATACAGAGCTCAGATTGATGCTGGTACTAAAGAGACCTTTAAGGAAGGGCACCTAGTGAAAAATTTAGCCATTAGATATTTATCTATTGAAGACACTGACAAAGGATTCAAACTTTGCAAATACTTTTCAGGGCACTCAAAACAATTGTGAGCTTCACTCGGCTTTTGCTACACATGTGTATTTATCACACTACTAGCACGGATTCTTGTTGTGCCACCATATGCATATGGCAGGTCTTGCTTTTGTCAAGGGCAGTCTCTTCTCTCCTTGGGAATCTCAGCAGGGTGACCACAGGTTCTACAAACAACTCTGGTTTGTCCTGCTTCCTTCATGAGCCTACCATCTCCCTGGGAGTGTTCAGATTCTACTTCCTTTCTCCTTCCTGCCTGGTCTGTACCCAGTTTTGACTATTGAATATTTCAAATATCCAATGGAGAATATTTCGCACTTTGAAACTTAATAACTGTTCATGGACAACACAAAACAGAGACAAAGAGCCATTATTTGATGTGTCCATTTGCCTTTAAATTAACCACCCAACCACCCACTCACCTTCACCCCCCACCACCCTGCCACCATGGTAGTCTTAAGCTTGGTTTGATTTGCAGTGGACATCCCAGGGACAAGTGCTTTTCCTGAGTCTCCTCTTGAGTCCACTGTGACCCTTGGGAGATGACATGGCCCTTGAACTTCCTTGGGACAGGTACTCAGAGGTGTTGATTTGTAACCTGTGTGTTCTGGTTTGTGCTGGCTGTTTTTCCATCTGGTAATTACAAGACTCACCCTCCCACAGTTCCAGTGGTGTTGTCAGAGAAACTGAGATCTCTGTGGCCAGATAGTTTAAGGATTTTTACAGTGTGTTTTTCTGTATAAACTCAACTGAGTTTTAGACTGTTTCCAGGGACTTGACACATTTCAGTCCTGTTTTTCTTTAAAGTTAAAAATCATATATTTTGACAACTTACTGGAAGAGATAATGGTTCAAAAAAAGAACCTGGAAGAATTTCACCATTTAAAGGAGGAAAAACACTCAGTTCTACTTTCCTGGAAGGGAGGTTCATCTGACGAGATTCAAACAGCCATGGTAAACTGTGATTCAGAGATTCAGACAAATCCAAGAGCTTGACCTTATCCACTGGCTCTCCTTCTCTTTGGATATGTACAGTCTCTTCCTTTTTACCAGTGATGTTCTCAAGGCTGACTGCCCATTTGTTCTGTTGCTATTGATGTCCCTGTCAGGCCCATGTCAACCTTAAGATCCCAGCAGCAACTCCCTTGACTTTTGTTTTGGCTGCTGTAATTATTTTTCAGTTTCAAAACATTCTTTAATGAAAAGATTTTTGTTATGAGGAGGCCAAGGAAAGATTTCCTGCCCCTACCAGCAATTTCCACCCAAAGCTATATTCATCTGCTCTGAGCTTTCTTATTTATTTATTTACTTATTTATTTATTTATTTTTTGTACCAAGGATTGAACCCAGAGATACAACCACTGAGCCACATTTCAAGCCCTTTTTAATTATGTTTTTATTTTGAAACAGGTCTCAGTAAGTTGCTTAAGACCTCGCTAAGTTGCTGAGGCTGGCTTTGAACCTGAAATCCTCTTGCCTCAGCCTCCTGAGCTGCTGGGATTGCAGGCATGTGCCACCATGCCCAGCCTGCAGTGAACTTTTTGCCCAGTCTGTCCTCTTGGGAAGAGCTATTCTTCATCCTTTGTCACCAAAGCTTGTTTCTCAGACTGTTAAAACTTCCTTCATTAAAGCAACACCCTAGTCAGTGGGCACCACCAAAAACACATCTTTGTGAATTCTGTTGTCCTTCCATGTACCCAGGTTTTGAAGCACTTTTCTGCATTTTAAGTGCCTGTGAACGTGCCCACATTGAGCCTTAAACACAGGTAGAGAGCAGAGTGTAGCCTGGTGGGTGAAAGGACAGCTCTTGGAGCAGACAAACTTGAGTCTGAATCCTAGCCCTGCTCCTTAGTTGCCTGTGTATGATGAAAATTACTTTCCCTTTCAGAACCTTGCTTTCTTCTTCTGAAAGGGGAAGAAGAGCTGCCTCATGTGGTTTTTCCAGGAATTATTTATTTGCTTGTTATCTTTTAATAAAGATAAAAGGGTTATTTAGCTCAGAGATCTGAGGATTCCTACCCAAGTTCAGGCAGCCCCACGTCTGTGAGCATCAGGTGAGGGCGCTGGGTGGCAATGGCAAGGAGCACTTGTTGGAGCAGAATGCTCACAGCTGCAGGCAGGAGGCAGGGGTAGGGGTTATTTAAATGAAATATGGAGCATGCTTAGCCTAGATCCTAGACAGTAGCAGAGACTCAGTAAGCCACTGCCAGCCTGGTTATATACATCACAGTAGGTTTTCAGACTCTGAAAACTTTTAAATTGAGAAACGGTTTTCAAAATGAGGTGACATGTAGAACATGACCAAGTGACATGTTCTGGTTAAAGACGGAGTGCACCCCCACCTTCTGCTTTCCCTTCTACGCTCCCCTTCTCTGCCATCCTCCCTTCTTGTCCCACATCTTCCTCCTTCACAAGAAAAGGCTGAACACCATCATGTTAAACTATACACACACAGAATTGCCAAAGTTTCCTCATTGACAAAGACGGGCAACCAAACCTTCGTTGTTCAACTCTGCCCTTGGACAGTTTTTTTTTTTCTTTTTGTTTCCTTTTACATACTGCTAATACAAGGATTTCTGTTTCTGAGTTGTATGTTTCCTTTTTAAATTGAAGTTCTTCAAGCTCAGGGACCACGTCTCTAAACTCTATCAACAGTGTCTCATAATCTTGTAGAATAAAGCAGCCAGGTTTAGGGAAGTGTCATATCCAGTATTTTGAATTAAAGGTGTCTTCATTTCCAGCCAGTTGCCAAGTTTGACTCTATAAAGTTAATTAAGACATGCTGCATATTTGATTAATCTGTTAAAAGGGTGAAGAGAAGTTGGCCCACTTTTTGTTAAGGGTGAGGTGAGCTTTCGCCACAAAGAATTAAAAACATGCATTTGCTGGTGACCAGAGGAGGGAAGTAAGAAAACTGAAAGAGGAAGGCTGTGCTTTATCTCATCTCTCTCCTTTCCAAGGTAGCTAGTTTAGCCTGGGACTGTTAAGTTACTTCTTGAATAGGGGTGAGTTCAGGAACAAGCTAGAATTAGAGAAAACCAAGACCCACCGTGTGAACTTCAGGGTATCTGTCAGTCTTTGGAGCAACGTCCTACACACAGGGTGTTAAGCTGACATATAGTAGTGATGACAATTTTGATAAATAAATTCCCTTTAGAAAAATCTCACGCTTACTGAAAATATTTTTTTTAAAGGTAAACTGTGGTTAACCCCCTGATAATTTATTTTAGACCACTTTATTTTACATTTCAATCAACAGCTATAGAACATACGTAGCACATAAACACATTCATATCAATGGCAAATGAAATATGATTTCCCATTTATTTGTATTTATTCGATGAGTTTTTTCTAAGTTTAAAAGTAGTGAATGCTTCTTTATTAAAAACCAAAGACAGCAATGTATTCTAAAATATCAGTAAGCTATCAAAACCCTAGTGTCCCACCTTCTAAAGATAACGCTGTCAACATTTCAGTGTTTTTCCTTCATTTTATTAAGTAGTGTTTGGTCTTTTAAAAGGTTGTAGATAGGGCTGGGGTTGTGGCTCAGTGGTAGAGCACTCGCTTGGCATGTGTGAGGCCCTGGGTTCAATCCTGGCACCACATAAAAATAAATAAATAAAGTAAAAAAAATCCATTGACAACTAAAAAAAAAATTTTAAAAAAAAGACTGTAGATAATCAGAGTTTTCTCAAAAACTGAAGTTAAGAACTAGATATGTTAATCCCTCCCTTCAGACTTCCACATAATGGTACTTTTGTCATCTTGAATAAAATCTGAATTTGGAAGTTTGGCCTGCAAGGCCCATGCCAGGGGGCCTATCTGCTGCAGCCTCATCCTGGGGTCAGCATCGCCACCTTCATCCACTGCCTCCCCTACCCCTCATGGCAATGAGTCTCTGCCTTCCACATCTTCCACTATCCAGAGCCGTCTCCCTGGTCAGGCTTTCTGTCCAGAAGGCCCTCACTGCCTTTAAGTCTCATTTAAATGCCATTCTTCAGGGGAGCCTTCCAACCTAGGTCCCCTCCTCTTAGGCTTTGCCACAGCCCCTTCTCCATTTCCTTCACTATCACAGTGATTTGTGCCAATGTGCTGTTTGACTCTCCCTTCCCAGACAGCAGGCTGTGTGCAGCAGGATCACATGGGTCCTGTGTCCCTTATGTGGAGCCTGAGACTCAGTGAGCACTCAGAATGTGTTTGCTGAGTGAAGGAGCAAAATGGGGAGGGGCAGTTCCTGCACAGGGAGAAGTGGGGTTCAGACAGGCATCTTCCTTCCCTACCATATGTTGTATTCTGAGTTTGTGAAATAGTTCCTCGGGCACAGATTGACTAGCTACCAGCATATGGAAGGTAATAAGTCATCACAATGCAGGTAACAAGACATCCACACATCAGATGAGGAACTAACCCTAATTATGAAACCCAGTGTTTTATTAAATAATACAAATATGGAAGTGTCATTTAATGTCTATTCACATTGTGTGGAGATTTCCTTACTGAAATAAATATGACTTTCCCCCCAAGCAGGACAGTAATCTATGCTCAGAGAACGGGACATGGAGTACCCACGTGTAGGAGGTGTCCTATATGGGACAGTTTTTTGGGAACATG